GTCATGAGGATTTTCTTTCAAGTGCACTTTTTACCAAAATCACTCAACTGCACCATTTCTCAATTACTATTTATTGACTACAAATCAGTAAGGATTTGGCAGTGTTGAAATTCAAATTCAAATTCAAAAAGCTCACAGGCTTGCTTGCAATAACTCTCCATTCTCCTTTTATCAAATGAAAGTAAATCACTCCACAACATCAAACCAGCAGAGGTCAAGGACCAAAAACCAGGTATGGGTATATAAGCAACAATTTCTTTGTATCCCATCTACGTTCAAACCTATCAGCTGTCTGCCCACGAGGTACTATACCCTTGCAATCATCTTATATTCAATAGGATATTTCCTCATCCTAAACGATTTCTGCCTGGAGACACTCAGGGCATATGTGGCCCATCTAGAGGGTTTGGGCTGTACCAACTTTACAAATTGGGACTTGGTCTCCATGAGACCTTGGGGTCTAGGTTCCCCACTTGGCTTCTAAAAAATCAATCTGGCCTCAGCCAAGTCGTTTCACCTTTGCGCTCCTCACTCTTGTTTCCTTAGAAATATGGTAAGTGAAGGAAACCATCTCTGGGTCTCTTCTAACTCAAAAGGTTTACCCTACTGTGATGATAGGGATTCCCTCAAAACTACATGATCTAGTGCTGGCTCCATCCTGCAGAAGTGTGTGCGGGCACTCATGCTTGTACGTGTATGTGCTCCCTGCCTGCCCACACTGCTGTTTACTGGGCTTTGCTGAGAAAATGCAAGTATTTTTGTGAAAACATAACTGAAAATTGGGCTGCCCTTGAGGGAAACACAAACTGCCCACTTCACTAAAATATAAATATGATTTAAATGCCAGCAGTCTCCATTAATACAGAACACTGCAGTTCAGCTTTTTGGAACACATTTTTTCCATTAAAATGGTATTATTAAAGTGAAATGTCCAGCCCAGCCCATAAAAGCCCATAAAAATAGTGATTTGCCTAAGCTATACTTCCTACCTCCCCCACCAGCCATGTTACCCCATTCTCCTCCACATTAACAATTTAGTAGGTTTACATATTTTACACATGTACATATTTTTCTCTAAATTTTTATCACTAGACACACATGTGTATGTGTACATATACATGCACAGGGGTGTAATTATAAAAAAATGGATCATAAAAGATACTTTTCCTTCTCTTCTTTTTCTCTCTCAATAAATACTTGATAGAAATCTCTTCATGTCCATGGAAATAGCTACATTCATTTCTATTTAATGGCTACATAATATTCCTTTGTGTGGTTGTACGTAATGTATTCAATCATTTCCATATTCATGGATATTCATTCTATTTCCAGTTTTTAAACCTTCACGCACAATGCTGCAGTAAACATCCATGAACACTTACCCTTAAAAACTGCTTTTTATATCTGTTGTATAAGTTGAAAGAGATAAATATATGTGCATATATATATATATATAAAATTATATTTATAAATCACAACCTACAATTGTCATTTCAAATGAAGGGTCTCTGAGACAAAAGAATTAAGCTATCTTTCTTTTTTTTTTTTGGAAGGAGTGGTTTGCATATATGAACAATAAACTAAATTTAAAACATAATTTAAAAAATATGTATAAAATATATTTGACAGATAAGAAATATCAATAATCTAAAAATATGACAAAGATACTTAAGACCTCAGTATAGAGAAATATAAAGCTTATTGAGCAATATGAAATGAAGACCCAAATAATTCGAGACATATATCACGCTCATGGATTGGAAGACAAAATATTTAAAGGTGTCATTTCTATTTGAATTGTTTTATAGACTCAGTAAATACCCATGTTAAATCCCAATGGGATTTTCATAAACCACCCTTCTTTATAGGGATGTTTTAAGGAACTGCTTGCATTCCAGTTGAAGGTGGGAGTTGTAGTTACATCCACCTTAGACCTGTACCCTGCAACAAAGGCACTCACATTTCTTCTGGGGAGAGAGGTGGAATTCATAAACGGAGAGAAAGTTCAGGGAAGGGAGGGAAGAAGGTGGCATACTGCAAATTTGTACAGCCACTGTCGAAAACAGTATGGAGATTACTCCAAAAACTAAAAATAGATCTGCCATACAACCCAGCAATTCCATTTCTCAGTATTTACCCAAAGAAAACAAAAACACTAATTTGAAAAAGACATATGCAACTTTTGTTCATTGAAGGATTATTTACAATAGGGAGGATATGGAAGCAACTAGATGTCCATCAACAGATTAATGGTAAGAAGATGTTACACACGCACACACACAAAGCAATAAAAAAGATGAAATCTTGCCATTTGTGACAACATGGATGAACCTAGAGGGTATTATGCTAAGTGAAATAAGTCAAACAGAAAAAGACAAATACTATATGGCTTCAATTATATGCGTAATCTTAAAAAAAATAAATAAATGAAACAAAACAAAAACAGACTCATGGAAACACAGACCAGAGAGATGGTTACCAGAGGGGAATTGGTGGAGAGAAGGTAAAGGGAAATATGTAGTCAATATATTGTCATAAGTTTGCACGGTGACAGATGATTACTAGAATTAGTGGGGCAATCATATTGTAAGGTATAAAAATGTTGAATCACTATAATATACATCTGAAACTAGTACAATATAATATTGTTTACCAACTATATTTAAATTTAAAAAGGACTGGAAAGAAACACATTAAAGATGTTTCCAGTGAGATTATAGGTGATTTAAGTTCTCTCTGCCTTTTCCTTTCTGAATTTCACAACATTTCTACAACAAACATATTTCACTTCTATTTATTTATTTATTTGTTTGTTTTAAAAAGGAAGAGGCAGAGTATGCTTTGCTTCTACCTCCCTTGGTGGCAGCAGTAGCTGGAGCTCCATCAGAAGGGAGTCGACAATCATCCTTTATGGCACCCATAACGAAATAATGCTGTTACTTGTTTAATTGTGTTTTATGCTCATTGGAAACTCATGAGGGCTTGAATCTGTGAATATTCACTCAAATACCACTAAAGGCTCCTCAAGGCACTCAGTTATGGCAAGAGTCAATGAATAAATGAACAGGTGATAAAGAAATGAATGAATGAAGATCAAAAATAAGAGATTAACTTGCTTAAAGATGACTGGAAACCTAAACTCATTTTTCACTTCTGTGCTTCTTAACAGAATACATCAACAGCAAAACCAACTCCATCAACATTCTTTCCACCCAATGCAAGATGCAACTTGCTCTGAATGAACAGGCGAGAATCTATTTCTAATTATCTCTATATTATTATAATGAGATTTATTACAATTTTGGTTTTACTCACTTGCAACCCATTCCTTGTAGCTTTTAGGAAAAAACAGAGGCCTTCTTTTTTCTGATATTGCAAAGAAGGGTCCTGAGATACTCCAGGCAGGAATCATTGTTACCCACTATATATGGTTAATGTGTCTTAATTTTTCAGCTTAAAAATCAAATCATTAAGATCAAAAACATAATTTGACTCTCCTATTTTTCTTTGTTAATCCATTAACATGCATTAGGGCAAAATGTCCTGGATTGTTTGTCAAAAATTGCTATATCTAAACATAGAGATAAAAAGAGCCACGTTTACCTTGTAAATAAGCACAGAAGAATCAAAGCTCTCAATAACCTATCTTGCCCTCTAGCTTTTACACTGAAAATTTTTTTAAAAAGTATGTGTGTGTACGTATCATTCTTCCCTATCTGCCCAGCATGACTCATTTAAAAAAGTGAAGATGTGGGCAACTGGATATTTCTAACGTATATATGATGGTTACAAGCATGTCCCACAAAAAAAAAAAAAAAAAACCTAGCCTGTTCACCTTACTTTAATAAAATATTGCCTTGATGTTTAAAAATTATTGATAAAGATTCTAGTATGTGCCAGGCTTGGTGCCAGGGCGCAGCAGCAAAGCACTCTCTTAAACGTTCTCTAAATCACCCTCACAAAATCAATTTTGAGAGAAGAATCATCCCAACCATTTTACAGATGAATAACTGAGGCTGAGAGGCTCAATGACCTGTCCAAGAACTTATCAGTGTAACTCTGCTGTTGTGTAAAATAAAGGACCAAAGGAAATCAATAAAATTCATCATAAAAATTATATTTAAAATGTTTCTTAAATATTAAAGTAGTATTTGATAATTATGATAGAAAAAATATATTTACTCTTGTTTAACTTGCAGAGACTTTGTAATTTGTGCATTGGTTTCTCCTTTGGACTTTTCATTCCTTTTTACATTTTGTCATTTTTAAAAAATACATATCTACCTTAAGATTCACCAGTGTCTATTTCTTTATAAGGAACAAGAATCTTGCCAAAGAGTCACAGACTCAAAGGATGAGTGACCATGAGTGCAGGTCAGTGACTTCAAGCAGAGATTAGGACTCCCAAAGAAGGACCGAAAATAATAACCAACTCCTTACCACTTGCCTGAAATATCTCCCAAGGATCATATATGTCATCAGAGTCAGAAATTTTGTTTTTTGAAGGAGTCACAAATCAATGCAACTCTCTCTATTCTTTCATTAAATCTAACACAGTGTGGTAGGCTGGGTCTCCCATAATTTCAGTGGAATCTAATATTAATAAAATGCTTTCCCAAATCAGGAGCCAGGACAGCATGGCCTGAACATGGACATGGAGATCTCTCTGCCACCCGCCTGGAGTCAAACTTCAGGTTGTTTTTACAAGTGGCTAATCTCTTAGCTTCATGAACTTTGGTAATAATAGTAGATTGAGGCACCAACCAAGGACACCGTGAAGAAAATAAATGATCACAGAATGCTTAAAAACAATGAGAACATTAAAAAACATTCCCTTCAATTTGCTGAAAATATGAAAAAGAATCTTTATAGGACTTGCCAACTTTTAAATATATATTCAAATAGATAAAATATACCTTCAAGGTTCAGATAAGTGAAGGAAGCCTCAAATTCTTAGGCTCAAGATGGGAACACTTACAGAGATGGAAAAATACTCTTGAACTATACTGTGTTTAATAAAACAGACCTTTCAAATGAAGATATTTGTCCTTTGATTTAAGTTTATATCAAATATATAAGCAAAATATTTACTGAAGACAAAAGATTTGCCCACGTAGTTAATATAGCAGATTAAGGCACATAATGGTTATTCAAAACTTGAAATGTGAGGATATCCTTTTACTGTGTTCCTATGTGGATTTGGAGTAACCTTAGACTTAAGTTGGCACTGCCACTCAACCATCTAGTTTCATATGCCAAAAAAATTTCTGAGTAATAAATAAAATGTGATATATCCATACAATAAAATCTCATTTGGCAATAAACAGGAATGAAGTACTGGTACATGCCACAATATGGATGAGCCTTGAAAACATTATGCTAAGTGAAAGAAGCCAGTCAGAAAGGACCACATATTGTATGATTGCACTTATATGAAATCTCCAAAATAACAAATCCATCGAGATAGAAAACAAATTAATCTGGTTGCCTAGGGATAAGGGGATGAGGGGAAAACGGGGAGTGACTGCTAATAGGTACAGGGTTTCTTTTAATTTTCTAAAATTGATCATGATGATGGTTGCACAACTCTGAATTTACTAAGTCATTGAATTACACACTTTAAAAGTGAACGTGAATTACATCTCAGTAAAGCTGTTATTTAAAAAAAAAACATGCAGTCTTCAAGTCATAATTTTTAAGCCTTTTTCATAAAAACCTTAGTTTAGCTCTCTTTAAATTAATTTGCAGTGTGCAAATAAGTCCCTTTCTTTTAACTATTAAGCCCTTTTCTCTTAGAAATACATACAGAAATATTTAATGGCTGAAACTATGATACCTGGGATTTGCTTTAAAATAATCCAGCGAATATTAAGAAAGAGGAGTGGCTGTGGGTATAAAGTGGCCATGTGTTGAAGCTGGGTGATGGAAAAATGGTTCATTATACTATTCTTTTTGCATTTGCTGAAATTTAAAAATTTCATAATAAAAGGTTAAAAGTGGAGGGGAGTTCTCAAGACTCCTGGTCACTTCTATGCTGTCTCCCTATTCTGTTTATATTTTGTTTTTAAAAATATACATATATTGAAGCATTTACACATGAAATGATATGATGTCTGATATTTGCTTCAAAACGATATGGGAAATTAATGTGACAAATGGACTAGAGAGTGTGATAGAGCTAATTCCTCCTCTGCTTGGAATACCCATCCTCCTGGAGTTATCAGAACACACAGAGCCAGCAGCAAATTTGCAACTGTTGTTATTGGGAGGCAGGCTGTGGAAAACATCACTACAGAAGAGAACTTAGGTCAAATCTTTCCCTGCTCTGCACTGCTGCTGGGTCCTGGAGACAAAGACACACCCAGCCAGCCAGCCTGGGGGAATAGCCTGCATCTTCTGGCTGATGGCTTTTTTTTTTTTTTTTTTTAATATTTCATCAACTCCAACTGTGGCTCGATTGACATCTAAGTCCATTTACCTCCAAAATAATTCACAATAGGACACTGATTTCAGGTTTAATTTTAGAAGGGCAAAAATAGTTTTCAATAATCCTAAATAGCTACCTTTGAGAAGACAAGAGATTATGATTTTACAAAGAGCAAATCCCTAAAAATGTATGCCAAGATTCACTTCTGGCCCACAGTATTTAGAGAAATGAAATTCACCCACCATTTGGCTCAATTTAGTCTGACAAGTGGACTAGGGATCATAATGGATCTAATTCCTACCCAGTCAGGAATATTCCTCCTCCAGGAGTTTTAAAGAACACTCAGGGAGGCCAGCAGGAGACCCCAAAGGCAGGGCCAAGAGCATGGGATTTCTTTTACATGACTCACAGACTGCAAACTTCAGTTACCAATGCGTGGGTTGTACCACAGTAAGGCCATCTAGCATCAAAATATTTCAAAAGAAGAGCAAATTGGCATCAATTTAAGTATAAAATGTCAGGCCACACTCTCTTAATGTTCTCTGCAAATGACTTCTTTGGGTTCAATTAGTTCTCCCTATATTCTTAAAATTTGGTCTTGAATCTGGGTATGTGTGGATCTGCAAAAGGACAGTCTTCATGCATTCAGAACATATATTCATTACAGATCTTAGACACTGCCAGACTTTTAGATTTAGTTAGTTCATGAAAAGGTCATTTACTTTAAAATAGTTATCTCCCACAATCTTTCCAAAAAGACCTGTTCCCAAATCTCTCAACCCCAGGCAAACCCAAGATGTTGGATACCCTGGAAGCTGTGAAATTGTTATGAGGCAGCTTTGGAAGACTAGCCACCCAGTGTCCACAGTCAATGGAAGGCAGCAGCCTTTCTTGGAGGCTAGGCACCTTTGCCCAAGATCAGCAATTTTCATTGGATATCCCTGAGCCAGACAGACATCTCCACCTAGCTGTCCCAGCTCCCACCACTTCGGAGAGCTCAATGATGGTTTGGGTTCTAGATAATTAAATTCTACACAGCAGCCTGTGTGGCTCCAGGAACCAAGTGGGGGCTTAGGGCCCTCTTTTAATGACCAGGTACAAGCAGGAGTTTACACACACCCTGCCATTACCTCAGCCCCAAATAGAGTGGAGCCATCCTACACCAGATATATTTCACATTTACGTGTTTTAAGGTAGAACAAAATGAGTGACGTGCCTCCGTCAAGCTGTCACTTCATACGTCCTACATACACACAAAAAAACCTACTATGTGTCAGGCACTGTTGATATATCAGTGAACAAACATCAAAATCCTTGTCCTCCCCAAGCGGTGGTTGTCAACGAAGTAAATACTCAGTGGCAGAAAGAAGTTTGACCATTTTCCTCCCACTTTCTTGCCACCCACCCCCATCTTTCCAATCTCCCGCAGATCTGGGCATCTGTTTTATTCTATTAGCTTGACAGCGACAACAAAATACTTTAGCCTGCGAGGAACAGACACTGTCCAGATGCAACCCAATTAACCCCTGAACTCCACTCTCCTTAAGCCTTCTTTTCCAAAAACTTCACCTGACATGAGGGGCTGTGCTTTCCCACCTCCAGCCCTGGAGACCTAATCATGGCACAGTGGAGGGGACCGGCCAGAGCCCCCTGCTCCCTGGGTGGGCCTTGCCAAGGCGAGCGGGACGCGCGCGGCACTCACCGAGGAGCCAGCCCAGAACGGGCACGAGTTCTTCACCTGTGGGGAGCTGCTCAGCGACAGCGCCCCAAAGCTGAGCGCCACCATGCAGCAACCCAGGATTAGCTGCAGTAGCC